TAGTTCGGACCCCAGACACTCTGTTGGGTACCTGGCTTTGGCGAAGGGACTCGAGTACAGCCCAATGAAGCCTTGATCATTCCGTAGCAAACCTCTTCCTCGCGTGGATCTTGAACGACCACGTCCTCATCGTCATTTCCTAGCTGTGTTAGCAACATTGCATAAAGTGACTCTCGACGGGACTTACCACTAGTGAGATCAACTGTCATGGCTGGTGACGCAGTTGCACTATTGGCTTCCTTTCGTTTGTCTGTAACATATTGACCCAGAATTCCACTTCCGCCCTGTGCTGGAGGAGTCATAAAATTGTGGACTCCCTCGCTGTCTTCGGTTCTCCTTCGCTTTGGCTGAGGAACGACAGAGCGATGCTGAACATTATTCGCACGCTCGATGAAGTGGCCTGCACCGCTGAAACCATTGGCATAACTACTACCTGGAGTGGAAGAACGACTGGAGGGGCCGGCAGATGGAGTGTCATTAGGACTGGAGAACTGAAACACCATGGAGTTGTTGTGCATGTTCATGTTCATTTGAGGTCTGGTCTGCATTCTCTGAGCAGGGTGACCATGATGAAGAGATGAAGATGGCGAGAACTGGCCTTGGCCGGAGTTTACGAGGTTAGGAGTTGAAACCGCCCTCTGGTTCGGCTGCAGTAGAGCAACTGGATTCCATGGTGGAACGCCGCTTGCAGAGTGAGATGGTTGACCTGGATGAAGTTGGTTAGCTCTGATTAATCTGAATCTGATTCATGATGAGATGGAACAGGATGAGATTGGAATTTGTTGGTTGAGGAACTGGGAGGATATTGATTGGAGGGGAGGAATATACCATTTGTAGCCATCCTTTATGAAGGCCGCAGGTGGCAGGCGGCTACTTGCAGGATGCAGTTCAAGAAGGGTGTTGTGCGGGCTGGTTTCATGAGAAGAGGTACCGTTCTCATGAGAAGTACCTTGTATTATTAGTACCTATAACTCGGGGGATGATGAGTGCTTAAAAATGGCAAAGATGGGATAAAAAAGAGAGTGCAGAGTGCAGAGTGCAGCAGTGAAGATATATTTTAAACGATCACGTGCATGCACTCTCAGTTGAACGTGCTTGAGGTTGAGTCGAGTTGAGTTGCGTTGAGTTGAATGTGAAGAGGCAAGACGATGCAAGGCGATGTGATGCGATGATAAGCCGCTGGGGCCTCGTTATCAAGGACGAGGGGCAAAGAAGAGAAACAGGAGCTCCAGTTTGTAGAGATGACAGAAGCTGCAGGTGAATATTGTAGAGAGTCAGGGTATCTCTACATAGAGAGACGGCGACTCTAGAAAAGGAGTCGAGGTTTCCAAGGGCGAAGCACCAAAAGACATTTGCTTGATCTTTTAGAGCGCTGAACTTGGGCTGTAGATTTGGAAGCACATCCCCTGGATGGCGCGTGACAAAGCGTGACTTTCACTTCACCTTGGAGCTCTCGAGATGGAGATGCAGTGGTCACGCAGCCAAAAGAGCCCGCGCTGGGCGCCTAAAACTAAACCAAGACGGGTGAAAGGTGCCCACCAAACCGCGAGCACATGATCAAAAGACGGGACGCAATCGAGGCTTTTTCCCTCTCGATTCTGACTACATCTACATCTACGGGCTGTTTATCAGATCTATCTCCCTATGGGCCAATAACAGGTTCAGCAATCAGTAACAGCCCAGGCTAGTCAAAAAAGATGGTCTCATAACAACAAGAAATAACACGTAATTCCTGATATACAGACTGAAGCTATCTCGATCCATCCCATATCCCACATCCCACGACTAACACCACTCACCCATTCACTCTACCAACATTTGGGTTTCAGAAGCTCCATACTAATTCTGCATGTGGCTGTTTTGATCCCCCGATAGCCTTTAAAATAAATACGTCAATCATGTGAAAGAGGCCCAAACACAAGCCATTGCTTACTCTCTATACCAACTAACTCATCTAACAATACCTACCTATATATCCGTGTTCCCTGCCATCATCAGTCCATAATGGATCGATATCCATGATTCTTACAAGATGATTTAGTGGTTCTATACTAAATGTTTATATAAAGGTGTGTTAAACCTTGTATGAACTTGAAGCAGGGTATACCATAGTATGAGGAATGATGATGAGATTCTCCCACTACTAGACTAGCTGATCTGTTCTTCAACAAATAATTAGCCTTGCCTCTAGAGTCCCTACTACTACATATCAATAGAGAATTGAGGTTGAATTTACATATTTAACAGAGTCAGTGAATAAAATCGAGAAATTCTCACCCAAATGATGCACATCGACTGCGCCGCCACTAACAATTTACTGCACCTCCATTAACTAACTCGGCCGTGAAATTTTTGTGGATGAGCAAAGTGCCCCGCCATTATCCCCCCGCTGAACCTCCACGTCAGGCAAAGCCTCATCAGCCCTTAATCAACCTCACTCCAAAGGCCATCGCAACGAATTTAAAGGGCCTCTCCCTTGCACCGTTAATTGCACTTGTCGGTAACAAACCAGGGTCTTCAAGTCGCCCTCGTCATAGGCAGCCATGGATATCACCAAATTCGTCGTCCAAGGCCGCGACCAGGCTCTCCTCTACGGCGACTACTCGACTTATCACAAGAGCTTGTCCAAGAAACTGCTGAGCTGCCGCAAGAAGCTCAACATTGCCACCAAGAATCGCGGAAAGTTTCACGACCATGACAAGGTCACCGCGGAAAAGATCGTAGAGAACCATGAGTAGGCACATTCCGAGACTCGAAATCCAAAATACTAGCCTGACACGGAACCAGATATGTCCATCTACTTCTTCTGACAAGCGAGCGAGCGTGGGCTCATACCATGAGCATGAAGTCCGGTCATGCTAGCGACACCAAGGGAATCACAGGCCGAACCCGATCGCATATTGCCTCTCGTCTCACCAAGGCCACACGTGCTGCCGATGAGCTTGTCGAAGCCCTCTCTCAAACCGACGTATCTGGCGCTTCCCAAACCGATCTCCTCGAGGCAATCGCATACGCTTCTCTCATCCGTGGTACAGCTGCATTTGAGAAGCAGAGCTGGGAACCGAGTTTGCGCAACTATGCCACGGCACGTGTCATCTACAGTGCGCTTGCAACCGCAACCAATGGCGACCTATACAAGGACTTGCTCACCGAAACCATCGATCCGTCTATCCGATACGCCGCCTACCAACTCCAGACACCTCGAACTGTCCCGATTCCCATCATTGCTCGGAAGGCGTTCCCTCAATCGGACTCCAACCTCGTCAAGCAGATCAACGATATCGACCCCACTATTCTCAAATCAGACGAAGCAAAGGCCAAGGATGGAATCGCCAGTGCTGAGGGCGCACCTAAGACCCTGACTTGGAGGTCTCGGGAGGTCAACATCGAAGATGCCCAGATTGCGATGGCGTGGGGTGCTGTGCTCGCTGCGAAGGATCGACTGGCCAAGGATCTTGCTGAGCCCAAGGGACGAGGGCCTTACGAACTTGCTGGTGCTTATGACGAAATTCTCATGCTCAGCCAGGATGCTGTTGATGCTACCAAGCAGGCAATTGACGAGATGAGGGCTGAGGGTGTGGAACAAGGTGATGCCAGGATGCAGAGTCTACAAATTACACGTACGGCTGTCAACTTCGAGACGATCAGCTGGAGAATTGGTCGCAGCAGAGTTTTGACAGGAGAACACGACGGTGCCCCTGAGGAGTACAATGTGCTGAGGAAACGAAAAGGCAAGCCAGCCCCAGAAGCAGTCAAGCCTGTAAAGGATATTCCTACAGGCAAAAAGCTGGCTAAGCTGAAAGAGAAGGTTGCTCTCTATGACGGTATTCTGCAGAACATTGAGTCTATCACAGAACTCCCTGGTGTCGCCAATGACCAGGGGTTGGCTAAGCAGATTGCCGCCTACGTGAAGTACTTCGAGGCTCTCAAGTAAGTCACAGCCTTAAACTAGCATTTGCGTATTTTCTAACAAAACTCTAGGGCTCTGGCTATCGCTCGTTCACATGCCATCTCCAGCAACCTGGCTGCTGCTCTAGCTCTCATCAACCACGCAGACGGTCTTGTTGAGGAGTCTCAGTCAAGCATCTCATCTTCTGATGGGTCATCAAACCGCACTCCCCTCAATCTGACGGTGTCCGCCGAAGACGTCGAGTATCTCCAAACTCTTCTCAATGGCGAGCTTCAACGTCACCGAGCTATTGTTCACGCCGACACCCTCCGCAAGAACCGCGAGCTGAGCACATCAGATGCCTTGAAGCAGCCTCTTATCGGAAGTCTGCATCAGTACCCCGTTGGTGGCGTTAACCTGTCGCACATCGTCGAATTCCCCCCCAAGCTTGCCGCAATCCCTGTGAAGCCTATCTTCCTCGACGTGGCATGGAACTACATTGATTATCCCAACAAGGCGCCTAAGCAGCAACAGCAACAACAAGCGGCAGCGCCCGCTCAGGCGGATACACCTGAGAGGACAGAATCACCAGCTCCATCGAAGAGGGGTTGGTTCGGTTTCGGAAGATCGTAGTAAAATATATTTTGCAAAGCAATTTATTGACGTCGCGGATTCCTTAGCACGCTTTCCATATGTCTTATCCACTTTTTGCTGATGGCCGAATTCGTTGTGAAATGTCTTATATATCCATCCCTGTTCCTTGTTGTTGACTAGTTGCTTGGTCTCATTCTACTCCATTCCTGTACAAGACAAGACCTTGGTTCTTCGCCGTAGCTTGCTTTGTGACTGATAGGACCTTGTTTGTTTACTGTTGGTCATCTCGTGATACTCGTGGTGATACTTTTATCTTTCCATTTTCAACTTCACCTTCGCTTCACTTTCGATCGTGATCGCAAGATGCTTGTTGGGCCTCTACACCAAGCGGTCCAAGCTCTCTGATTTTTCTTAGCCTCACATTCATTTTCACTCAGGCTCACATTCTCTTGTCTTTGTTCTTTTTTTTGTTTTGCTTTACTCACTCTCATTAAATACCTATTAAAACCTGCGCATGATGGACCAAGACCCAGCGTTGGAAATACCATCGCGAGACTGGCATCCCAAGCACACCTCGATACATCCTTATCCAGCGACAATCATCGCCATAATAGTCGTTCTCGCCGTCGTATCTCTCTTCGTTTCAGTCCTCCGTCAACTCCTCGAGCGTCGCCTTTCCCAACGCCGCGGCTGGTTCCTCGACACCACATACCCCCCGCCCTCACCAACACCATCGTCGTCAGGCGGAAGCAGCAGAAGAAGCAAAAAGAAAAGAAACGAACAAAAAGTGAGACCAGTCTCTGAGGTCGAGATCGAATCTCGCCAGCTTCTGTTTGCGGATACTGCTTTCCGAGGTGAACGAGTACCGCTTCAGAATCCTAATGAGCGCGTGTCACTTTACCATACTTTCCAGTTGCCAGCACCACATACATCAAGGCTAAAGCCTGCGCGTTCGATGATGGAGTTAAACGGAGGGAATCCACTAGAGAGTGTGGGGGATAAAGAGGAACAGAAGAAAGCCAAGACAATTCACTGGCATGGTGTAAACAGACTTAACACTGCTTGGGGATGGATGTCATGATGTACCACGATCATTCATATCTCATAAAAATCAACATATTTAACACAGTTACAATCGTAAGTAAAGGAACATGCTTGCATAAAACATCAAGTCATATTGAGTACCATGAAGGTAAACATGTTTTGAGGGGGGATGTGCGATTAGTCTACCTATAGGCAAGTCATGATACAGATATACAACATGATCCCCCATTCCGTGACATCATCTCAGAAAAAAACAACCAAAGATCTCTCTCAATAGAGGTTTTAAAGCTCCAACGCCAGATCCGCCAACCCTGAAACATAATATGGGTAAAAAGTGTAAAAGCGGCTAGGCGGGATATGAATACAGTGAAATACAGGACAGGCGAGGGATCTGAGCCGCACAGATCTCTCATCCTCAGATATTGTAACAGGTTTTTATAACACAGAATCAAGACCCTTAAGGCTTGTTCTCATCCTTCTTCTCACCCTCTTGAGACTGCTCAGAGGAGGAAGACTGCTCGCCGCTGCTCTCGTTGCGGGCCTTGTGCATCTTGTCGAAGAGGTTCAAGCTGGCAACCTGGAGCTCATCGGTCTTCTCCTTGATCTCGGCGGCGGTGGCGGTGCCCTCACCAGAGAGGTTCTTGGCGACGAACTCACGGAGAGTGGTGATCTTCTCCTTGATGGAGTCGGCCTCAGTCTTGTCGAGCTTGTCAGCATACTCGTTAAGAGCACGCTCGGTATCGTTCAGGACGCTGTCAGCACGGTTGGCAGCCTCGATAGCACCCTTGCGCTCCTTGTCGGCCTCAGCGTACTTCTCGGAGTCCTCAACCATCTGCTCAATCTCGCTCTCAGAGAGACCGGAACCGGAAGCAATGGTGATGGACTGGTCCTTGTTGGTGGACTTGTCCTTGGCGTGAACGTGGACGATGGAGTCAGCGTCAATGTCGAAGGTCACCTCGACTTGAGGGACACCACGGTGGGCAGGGGGGATACCAACAAGCTGGAAGTTTCCGAGAAGCTTGTTATCCTTGACGAGCTCACGCTCACCCTGGTAGACCTTGATCTCGACGGCAGTCTGGAAATCGGCTGCGGTGGAGAAGACCTGAGACTTTTTGGTGGGGATAGTGGTGTTTCGGTTGATCAGACGGGTGAAGACACCACCGAGGGTCTCAATACCGAGGGACAGAGGGGTAACATCGAGGAGGAGGAGATCCTTGACCTCACCAGAGAGGACAGCACCCTGAATAGCAGCACCAATGGCAACAGCCTCATCGGGGTTGACGGACTTGGCGGGATCGCGGCCGAAAATGCTCTTTACGGACTCAGCAACCTTGGGCATACGGGTCATACCACCAACGAGGATGACCTCCTGGATCTCCTTAGCGGAGAGGCCAGCATCCTTGAGGGCCTTGCGGACGGGCTCAATGGTGCGGGTGATGAGAGGGTCAACCATCTTCTCAAGCTGAGCTCGGCTGAGCTTCATGTTGATGTGCTTGGGACCAGAGGAGTCGGCAGTGATGAAAGGAAGGTTGATATCGGTAGAGAGAGAAGAAGAAAGCTCGATCTTGGCCTTCTCAGCAGCCTCACGGATACGCTGGATAGCCATGCGGTCACCAGACAGGTCAATGCCAGAGGTCTTCTTGAAGTCCTGGACAAGGTGGCGGACGAGGTGGATATCGAAATCCTCACCACCGAGGTGGGTGTCACCGTTGGTGGACTTGACCTCGAAGACACCGTTCTGGATCTCGAGGATAGAGATATCAAAGGTACCACCACCAAGATCGTAGACAGCGACAACGCGGTCAGCCTCCTTCTCGAGACCGTAGGCAAGGGCGGCGGCAGTAGGCTCGTTGACGACACGGAGAACGTTGAGACCGGCAATTTGACCGGCATCCTTGGTGCTCTGTCGCTGAGAGTCGTTGAAGTAAGCGGGGACGGTGACGACGGCGTTCTTGATGGGCTTGGAGAGGTAGGCCTCGGCGGTCTCCTTCATCTTGTTGAGGACGAAACCACCAATCTGAGAAGGAGAGTAGTTCTGGCCACGAGCAGCGACCCAGGCGTCGCCGTTGGTGTGCTGGACGATCTTGTAAGGGACCTCCTTGATATCACGCTGAACCTCAGCATCCTTGAACTTGCGTCCTATTAATCGCTTGGTAGCGAAGAGGGTGTTCTCTGGGTTGACGACGGCCTGACGCTTGGCAGCGACACCGACAAGTCGCTCGCCATCCTCGGCGAAAGCAACAACTGAAGGAGTGGTTCGGGCACCTAATTGAGCAATGTTTAGTGGTTGTCCGTGAGACGAATTGGCATGTAAAACCAACCTTCTGAGTTTTCAATGATGCGGGGGACCTTGCCCTCCATGATGGCGACGGCAGAGTTGGTGGTACCAAGATCGATACCGATCACGGCACCCTGGACCTTGCCCTCGGACTCAGTGGACTCATAGCGAGCGAACTTGGCAGCCAGAGGAGATCGGGTGAAAGCAGCCGAGCGAGCGGCGAGAGGGGAAGCTCGGGGAAGCTGATGCGATGGTCAGTACAATGCAATGTGGGATGAAGCGATTGCGGTGTTAAGAGAGAGACTTACAGCCCTCGACAAGCGCGAAGCCAGCATTTTGATTATGGGTATATGGGTATAGAGTACAGGAAAAGAAAAAGGATGAAGGCGCAAGTCGGAGAGTAGATGGGAGGAGGTGGTGTTTTAGAGGATTGAGTATGAATGGAGATGATGGAATCGAGAGGAACGAATTTTTTTACTCGAAAAAAGCTCTTTCCCCGGTCGGTCATAGAAGCCAAAGGAAAGAGGCAAGCACCGGGTTGTCTCCACTAAACCGGCTAGGTTCGGACCATGGTTATTCCTGTAGAGGCCCACTCCGTAGTTGGTAGGTGAAAGATCTGGTAGAATCAACGGAACGGCTCCTGATAAAGCATATCACGAAAGTCAACTGACAACAGACGATCTATGTAGAACGAACATACAACGACTATCTGCGCTTAAATTCAGCTTTAAACTATTAACTACTCGACCTCCTACGCTTCTCAGTTCATGATACAAAATGCCCTCTCTTCTCGACCTTGTATCCCGAATATGCGGAGCCAATGGGGATCGGACGCAATGAGAAGACCCGCGCTGCACGCCTAGGGCCTCGAGGCACGCTAATGAGAAGTGCTCCTCTTTCCCCCAGAAGATGGCTGAGAAAAGCTTCACCACACGTGATGAATGCTTCGGTGTTACCGGAAAAGTAACGGATTTGGCTCGGGCATGTCAAGAAGTTCATAACTCGGGGTCTTGCACGAAGCTGTCTGTCATACGCGAGTCAGCTAGTCTAAGGTAGCTTGATACTGGTGTCATGATATAGAATGCTTTCAGAAAGTATTATAGCTGCAAGGCTGATGACGGCATGGACAGCTTTGAAAGCCAGTGTTCGATGGCTTCACATGTCACCAGTTGACAATTCCATCTTTAGATAGTGACATAGTATACTCAGGGACAGCAAATGCTTCTCAGTTGTCGTCGTTGTTTCCGTTGACTGTTCTTCGTTACGACAACCGCCCCTCGGGGAGCAAGAAAACGCCGGACCTTAATACAGGGTGTCAAAATAAACTCAGCAAGACATATCCTAAAGTTATGCAAATTTACCTAAGTGTTTTTGTCATCTAGGATCAAGGTCCTGAGTTTTCTTTCCTCCCCTAGCCGCCTTCTAACATCTCTAGTGGTGACGAGCAGTGATATAATTCATGATGTTCCATGGCCTGTGCGTATTCTCCATCAGAGACACCGAGAACTAGCTTCATCTAAGCAGAACCCTGGATTGAGATGTTTTTCCATAGGTAGTTACACAATTCCCACTACTAACCAGTAGTAAATAATGATAGTCTGGCGTATCAAGGGTACTCAAATATCTTCAACTCGAGAGAAAAAAGTGATGTGGTTAACACTGAATTGAGCTGTACCTGATCTTGGCTGATCATTCAGTTGGGGTCGGTCCTGAAATTATCCCGTAGACCTCGCCCATTAAATCAGATCAAGCCAGACGTCATTCGCGCATGCAACCTTCATAACCCACATCACTAATCGCCCGACTCGGCCAACGACATTTCTTCTATTACGCTCCCAGAACCGTCATTTCGCATCGGAAACAAATAGACAACTCGATAATCTTATACTCCCCATCATCCGCGCTCTGCCTGTCGCATTGTTCGCCACAACCGTGCCGCTCGCGTTGCGCCTACTAGCCGCCGGCGATTTGGAGAGCTCGACAACTCATACGCAGGACAAACCCTCATCGTATCGATATTCAGCCACCGGGTAGCTCGCAATTCTCCGCATTGTCGCTCCCTTTGAGGGGCGGCGTGGTCCAAGATGGCGATAGATGAGAACGAGTATGGCGACCCTCATAGCCAACGAGCTTATCAATCATGACCATTGATTGTCTCGAGACTAACATCGTCCAGCATGTACCCGACCGATGCCCTCGTTTCGAAGCATGCGCGGAAACATTACCGCATCCCCGTGCGCTCACAGTATGTCATAATCCATCTTGTGGTAGCGCCATCATGCTCATGATATCCAGACATTGGCAGTTACGGTCTCTCGTTAGCGCCGAGAAGCAGGACATTGTCTACTTTCCAGGTGGCAACGGCAGTAACCATGTCCAACGGCTGAACACAACAACCCGAGAATGCGAAACTATCAAACTTCTCACTTTTGCGCCTCGATGCCTCGTCGCCGAGAAAGGATGGCTATGCTGTGGGAGCGAGAGTGGCGATTTCGTGGCAATTCGACTCGATGAAGGAAACGATGATGGCCATGGAATCCTATCAGAACTCGATCCGGACACTCGACTTAGCCTGGGACTCGACTCGTCCCGTGATGACCCTATACTCTCTCTTCTCAACCGCGCGAGACGGAACAACAAAACCCTGATCGCGAAAAGTATGAAGTTGGCCAAGGACCGGGTAAACTGCATTACACTTTGGTTCCCGCCAACAAGGATGCCAGCGCACGATAGGGCGTATAAGGAACCTGTGGCGGTATTGGCTAACAACGACCGTACTGTTACACTGGTGAGCCTCAACGATTTTGACCAGAAGGAGAAAACAGAGGCATTGGATATCATCACCTACCCAGACTTCGTGAATCGCGCACTCATCTCTCCAGACGGCCGGCTTCTGATCGCCATTCTCGACGACCCATATCTGTATGTCCATGAGAGAGTCAGGAGCGTCGCAGAATCTCCAGCGACGAGATCAAGTGAAAGTCCTACATACCAATGGGAACAGACACAGAGAATACTTCTCAAGAGCCAAAAGAAAGACGACAGAACAGATAGTCGAGGAAGTTTCGCCGCCTGTTTCTCTGAATCGGGAGCATATCTCGCTGTTGGGACCCAACATGGCACCATCTCCATCTTTAATGCTGCACTTCTCGCAAATCCTAATGCCGACCCCCTTATTACAACTTTTCCGTCTTCACGTCCTCACAGTGGCCCCGGTGCTATTCGAGATATGGCCTTCTGCCCCGGACCATTCGGAATGCTTGCCTGGACAGAGGACAGAGGCAATGTTGGCATTGCTGATATGAGGAGCAATTTTTATGTTCGTCAAATTGTAAACATTGAAGAACCGGTCTTTGAGCACATCAACATCCCAGACCGAAACACCATTGATCCCCGACTTTTGGATAGCCGCCGCGAGAGAAGGGATGCTGCCCTCGGATCAGGCGCCACAGAGACTGGGAGACGCCGAGATGTGATTGACACTCTTAATACTCCTTTGACTTCCAACGAGACACTTGTACTTGAGGCAATGCAGCTTGGTAGGCGTAGTCGTGAAAGGGCTGCTCAAAGAGTGGCGGCGGCAGCGGCGGCGGACGAGAGGGCTACAGGTGGTCCGACTAACTTTTGGGCGGCCAGGTCAGCCCGTCGAACTATTGGCAACGATGACAGTGAGCGGCCTATGGCTCGAAGGAGCAGTAGTATTGGTCGTGCCATGGGAGAGCTGCTGGGCAGCAATTACAACAGACGCCCAGTGACAAGAACTCCACGCGAAGCCTCCGACACCCCGGAAATTGGAAGGAGGCCAGATCGGTTGATGGAGAGTCTCGGTGAAACAGTGGCCATGCTTCGGGAACAACGGCAGCGCCAAGATTCATCCTACCTCACTGTGCTTGAGATTCTCCAGGCACGAGAGCGAGGCGACGACCGCGACCTCGACGATACAACGATCATAGTGCCGCTTATCAACCAGGCGGTGAATCCGGTGAATCGATGGGAGGATGACCACGGCGTCTTCGAAGTCCCGCCTTCGCCGGACAATACTGCCGGGTTGGCGTGGAGCGAAGATGGTCGTACACTGTAAGTCTCCTTTTGGTCATTCTGTATATGCTTTTTACTAACATGGCGTAGCTTTGTTGGTGCACAGAACGGCATTTACGAGCTCCACGTGGACACTCAGAGCAGGAAGTTCTTCCCGAGCGTTTCGATGAGGTAAAAGGCCAGAAGACAACGAGTGGACGCAACCTTTGTGCTGGCGCAGGCGGTTTTTAATGGCAGCTTTGGGGTGATATCTTGATTTACCAAAAGTGATGACCAGTGACGACGGTTCAGTATTAGCATGGGCACAGGATACCTTGAGTACATTCCTACCTCTTTCTTGACATGGCGTTTGCGATGTTTTATCTCAGTCACATTACATTACCTTTCCCTTCTTACGTGCTCACATATAGCCTAACTGTTATCGATGATAGCTTGAATATAGTCCAACGAATTCTAGCTACGATTTTACAAATACTCTGCTCTACAGTGACTTGCTGGTCCCGTAGAGCAATTCTTGTACCATCTCAGCGATCGCCAGTGAGCTCGTTAATCCAGGACTTTCGATACCCAATAGATTTACCCAGCCCTCGTATCCCTCCTCTTTCCTGATGATAAAGTCGTGGAACCCTTTGCCTTTGAGGACAGCCTCTTGTCCAGCTAACTTGGGACGAACACCAGCATAGTCTGCCACTAAAGCCGAGGCGTCAATGCCTGGTAGATAACGCTGGATCTCAGTAATAGCTTGCGGCAATCGTGCTGCGTTGACAGCCAAGTCATTCGGATCATCAATCCATTCCACATCTGGGCCAAAACGTAGACGACCCGCAAGATCAAGCGTCAAATGGGTGCCTAGGCCTGCAATGCCAGGCTCAGGGACGGGATATATGAGACGCGAGATCTTGGGCTGGGAGGCAGAATACGAGAAATAGTTGCCCTTGGCATAGTACAGCTCCTGTCGCTTCTCAGACGGGACAATCATGTTGTGAATAACCGCAGCTCCGAGACCAGCAGCGTTGATGAGCGTCTCAGCCGTGATACTCGAGGTCTCACCTGTGGCAGCATCCTTAACACCAATCTCCCAACCTTCACTGCCGGGTTTAGATCCGAGAGGTTTGATGTTTAAGACGGGTGAGTTGAGCGCCGAAACACCACCAGCATCCTCGAATAGACCTTGGAGACACAACATCAAGCCGTGCGAGTCGACGATACCCGTTGTCGGACTCTCAAGCGCACAAGCAGCATTGACGCCTTCACCGTCTCTCTTGACCTCTTCACCGCTCACCCATCGTGTTGGGACACCGAGGTCGTTCTCGCACAGTGAGTGAATCTTCTCGAGAGTGTCACGCTGTGCGTCGTTTTGAGCGACGATCCATTTGCCCGTGCGGCGATGGCCTATATCGTGCTTCTCACAAAGCTCGTATAGCAGGTTCTTGCCACGGATGCAGAGTTTTGCTTTCAAGCTGGATGGTCCGTAGTAGATACCGGCGTGTATAACTTCACTGTTACGCGAGCTTGTCTCTGTGCCAATAGCATTGTGGCGCTCAATGAGAACCGTTGAGGTATCGTCCCGCTGCGCAAGTTGACGGGCCACGGCAAGCCCAACGACACCGCCACCAATTACCTACTACAATGTTAGAGTCATAGTCTCGAATTGATTTGAAATACATCGTGGCAACTCAATGGCGTTTGTCCCCCGCTCCCTGCCTCGTGATCCTGCTACGGACGGGATCGATCGGAGACTGAAGCTCCGGCGCCGGAGCCGGGTCATGATACGGGTCTTATGATGACGATGAAGTGGACTTACAGCATGGGTGAAGTCGGCTCTAGCAGCTGACGTCGAACTGAAGCTATTTCTTTGAATAGTTCGTAGGTTTGTGGGGAATTTACGTGCCAATGGTCGAAGCATCATGAATGTTGTTTAGATTGAGTTGTTTGCAAGAGTGGGAGGATATTGTATCTAGAATTCGGCCAAGATGATGCATACACCGAGCTGACCAACGACGCAACGCAGACGGGGAGTAACACCATGTGCCGACCAGAACAGATACAAATTTCCAAGGAAACATAGATATTCACTCTATAACGTTTTGCATATCTTTTGGTGACACTGCAAGTGTGTAGAAAACTGCTGCTCATGAGCTTGATACCCTGCAGGCTACTTTCAGAAGCCAACTTGAGGAAGTCGTAAAACTTGAAGACCTCGATCCTATGATACAAATACAATTTGGCAGGTTGAGGATGAATTAATACAGAGGATGCTTGTGAAGCTTTTTGGAAACTCAATTTTTGTCATATCAAGTCCATATGACTATCTCATCCTTCCTTTCAAGGGATCGGACTCATGATAATATGCATACGCTGAATCCATAACGCCATATTTGTTTCAAGCTGGTTTTAATTGCCGCTGGAAACTCGGCCCCCATCACTTCCGCCTCGATCGCTTAACGCCACAAGATTTAAGGTGCTTCGTGTTCTAAGTATCAGATAAAACATGAGCCAGCATCTTCAAGGCTTGGCTTCCTCAGCGATGGACTTGTCCTCCTCCTTATCTACAGTCGTAGAAGAGGATCTTGTCAGGTTTGAGGGGTGAGGTGGCTCATGAGGAGCTGATGGACCAGTCCCGAGGTCTGTTAGTTGTTTCTCTGGATATGTGTTAACAAATATCCCATCAGCATGAACTGCTTATGGACTCACCTAGCTCTCGTACTCGGTGACGAAGCATCTGGTTCTCACGAACCAGCATCTGTGTCTCAGCCTGATAGAATGCGCTTTCATCGCGACCACCCAGAACCCAATCCTCGCTATTTCCACCTATGGACGTGGCGCGAAGTCGTGGGGAGGCACCACTACGACTGGGTGTTCGAGATCGTCGTTGGAGGTCGGCGCGGGCTAGATCGAACGAGCTTCGAGGATGACGATAGCTATTGGAGCGAGAACCAGATCCGCCAGTTGGAACAGGAGGGATAGAGACATGAGGGCTGGAGGCATGGGGGGTTCCGTGACCTGACCGCTCGGAAATGGCAGAGCTATCCTCTACAGCTGAGCTCTGGTTCTGGTTGTGGGGGTTGGCAGCTTGAAGGCGCTGAAGTTCGAGCTGCTGCTGTCGGATCATCTGCAAGAGGCGGTTCTATCAACGAGAAGTTAGCCATTGTTGCGCATGACATGGCATCATATTTCGTACCACGTGAGCTTCTTGCTCTGCCTCAAGCTCTTGATGCAGCTCACCCAGGCTGGGGGCTCTATGATGATGTGGATCACCCGTAAAGGGGGATCCAGAGAGAGGTTGCGGGCTCGCAGTCCGTAGGCCAGACGGTTCGTTGACCATCTCGCCTGGCGAGGGCACAGAAGGGTCGTTTAGTTGGAGGTTCATGAGCACGGTGGAACGTCGTCGACCGGTATTTGGGGAGTGTTGGTTGCGAGAGATGGAGCTACTTGACGATCCTGTTGAATGTTAGTGGCCGAGTTGATTATTTTAGACACGAACTAGTAGACGACGTACTTCGTGGAGATTCGTGTTGAAGTCCAGCATTCATGGTCGCAGCTGCTTGCAGCGATATCGAAGCTGATCGCGGGGATCTTGTTGGCGAGTCGCTGCGGGGAACAGCGGTGTTGAGTGGTGGAGACGCCATGATGATAGGTGCTATCCTTGTATATATCACTTTGGTCTTGGTTGTTCTTATAAGGTACAACTAGTAGACGTTTCCAAAGAGCGAAGAGAACCTCAAAATAAGGTGTATGAGGAGAATCGGTGAATACGTCAGAATTAGGAAGACGTTTTTAAAACGATTGGTCGAGTTACGTTTGTCAGTTTGTTCGAACCGTTGGTGTGGAGGGGTTATAGCCAGCAGGCAGGTAGATAGAGGAGTATAGGTAAGGTATGCATGTACTACAGAGCAATTTATGCGCGTGTATATAGAAGAATACAGGTTGGAATAAGGATTTATGGTTATTTGATAGGATATGAATACCAGAGGAGAGTTGATTCAGACCCGAGGTCCATCGTGATCACCGAAACCAGATCGCAATGAGTAAGTCTGCGGCGGAGTTGCTGACGAGTGGCCTGCTTGTGTGCTGATCACGACCCTCCGAAACCAAGCTTCCAGGCTCGGCCATGGAGGTCACAGGGCACATCAGTCGATTGCGGGGGGTTGGGGCAACTTTGCTACAGTGAACGATACTCCGCTATCGCTCTCCAACTTGAACCTGAACTTGCCCATGGGCGGGCATGTGCTGCTTTCAGCTTGGTTAGACATTCTGTATTCATGATTCCAACCAAAAGGTCACGCAGACATCCATTGGAACTAGACTCGTTAACCGCGATGACCTGGAATCACTGACACATTTATTGGTAGAGGCCATCGTGAACAATCTGTTGCACAAAAAAATCATACTGTCGGTTCAACTTGGAGAGTCGTGATACATGGTTTACTCGCAATGACAGATGACCACAGCATCATGATTGCATTCCAGGCCCAAGTCTCACAACTGTAGGCTACCTTGGGTATCCGAATCTTCAACACTGTAAAAAATACCCGCGGCGACCATAAAGAATCACAAGTCATCGACAACGGTATAAACATGCAACGAATCCTCAATACTTCTGAGACAGAAATCAATGTAATCATCCGAACATCGCAACACACATGCAGCTCTATTCACTGCACCGACTCATTTGCATGTTTCATGTGAATCTGATATAGAATGGACCAACAGTTCCAAGCTCAACAGACAGGACAGGCCTCAATGGCCAGGATTTTGAGGGCGTTGGTGATGAAACATGACTGCGTTGAGAACACGCCATTCTCACAGCTATGACCCGCAAGACCCCTTCAATTGACTCAAGGATATCAATCTTTTTTTCGTTGTTGGCTGAACATGTGTAAGACGCATGCCAGTGGCTTATGGCTGAAGGGTCCTGCAAGAAAGTTCAGGTACGTTAAATGAGTCTACGGTGGCTGACTATGAAGGAGGGAAGAGAAAACAAGCGCCTGAGTTAACAGTACTGAGGCTGAAACTGGTAGGTTTCGCTGCTCAGGCTTAGGCTCAGGCATTGATGCTATCTTGAGATGTCATCTCGTCTACAATAACTCACGAACTTTAAAGAATAAGGATGCCTAATATGCAACTATTCCAGGTCAGGAAATAACTTCATCCCAGCCTCTGAATTACACGTCGTCTTTCATCCCAGTGTCACCCTGCCCTACAGGGTCCCTGACGATGGATAACCCGGCACAAGACGAATCTAGATTCCGCGGGGACTTGTGTATTCAAGACAGAAGCTAATCGGCTGTCTACTTGCTGGAGGAAAGTCAAACATATTGGGCATCTTCATCTCGTCTTGCTGTAGTAAAACAAGCCACCAGAGATTCGCAAACCGGTATATCGGTTCGTAATGTCGATCCGCCAGGCTATCCATGCCGGCCTCACAGTCAAGGTGTCATTCCGCTGTGTCGTCCTTGGTTTTTTCGCCGTTCGGCTAGTATGGTCCAGCCAGACTGGCGGTATTGTCTGTGCTAAAAGCCCTTGTCTCCTGGCTAATATTAACGTCAACTACCGTGGCTTCCGGCACTAAAACCACCAGATCCCTGATGTTAATTGCTCCCGATTTTTTTTGGTGGGAAATTGGACTCTACATGTTTTGTTGTTGCTGGTCGAGAGCTTGTTTGTTTGTTTGTTTGTTTGTTTATGTCTGTCCTTCACGGCATCAGATAGATCTTGGTTCTTGGACAAGTTGGCTGGATGAAGCTGAGACAATGGCCTCCAGATTGATTAATTGGTCAAGGGGCCGGGCCGCCAGAAGTAGGGAGAACCGCCCTTCAGATTTGTATAGATAGGACTGTCTTACTCGCTGCAACTTTCTTGGTTGAATTTGAGGTGAGCTAATCAGAAATTGGGCCCATGCTTGCGAGAAGTTGACATTTGAACCAGACAATTTCAAGCCTAGTCGAGCCCACTACTGCAGGAACACAGCAAAAGCAAAACAAGTTGCATCTCCTGGTCCCAATTATCCACGGCTCCTGCATAATGGCTTGGAATCAAATAAACCAAGAGGTTAGCGCCTTGTGCCCATCTGAGCGAGGTATCGCTGTCGTATTCGATCGATGGCCCCATCCGTATGCCGGGCTGTGGATGACAATTCTGATGACGACTCATTTTGCTGTGATAATGCTGACAAGAGAAAGAAAATGCTGCCGGGAAAAGCAAAATTAGCTCGCAGAGTGACTGGCCACGAGCGGAACCGCACTCAATCCTAGAACAGGGCAGCCCTGAGATCCACGGATATTCTTGGTTTTGGTCGTACAGAATTTATGTTGAACAACTGATGCTATGCTACACAATAGAACGATCGGTGAGGAAGAGGTTCGCTTATTACTTCACAGCAGTGGTCAGCTCTGCCAAGTTACCGCCTCTTGAGCGTCACATCAATGCATCTCTTAATTGTTGGCGCTTGTCATTCAAAGCACAGGATAAACCCAGCAAAATGACTGCACCAATTGTCCCTCACGTGCAAGACTTGCGTCAGCCATTGGATTCTTCAACTGCAATTTGGCTCTGAGATTGAATCATTCCAAAAGGCATCTCAAAAATGTAGGGGGCCCAGGGGGTTCCTCGAGGCAGTTGAACAACAACGGAATCGCTTGTTTTCTACGGAGTACAGCCTGACCCCCAGTCCCGAAACAACAGCCATGCCCTTCAGCTGGGCGAGGCTTGGTAGTGAATGATTCAATCCTTGTATTTCCGGGTCGTCGAGGACTAAGAAAGTGGGATATCAATCGGACGTTTTGGCTAGAGGAACCGATCCCCGTCTTTTATCGTGATGAGACACTGGTCTGGCAGCGATAAAGCCGGGGCCACGCACAACTAACAAGAGAGCAAAAAATCTTCACCAATTTCTGTTCCTGGAGC